GGTCCGCTTTTAGGTCAATTAAGGCGGCGAGTTATAGAGCGGAAGCGAAATTATGATCATAGGTGAAGGTCGTAGTGACCTGCGGTTTGCGTACGCGACACACCCTCCCAAGATGTTGTAGATACCAAGTTTGTAGCGCTTAGTCAATTAGGGCGAGTTTATAGAGCAGAAGGAAATATGATCAAGCGTCAAGGTAAAAGATCAAATAAAAGGTCGGCAGTGATACCTGGTTTTTGTACGCTGCTCACCTTCTCCCCAATGTGTAAGTATACCAAGTTGGTTAGCGCTAGGTCAATTATTGGGGCCGATGTTAGAGCGGAAGGTAAATATGATCAAGGTCAAGGTCGCAGTGACCTGGTTTGGGTAACGCGTCACTTCTCCCCAATGATGTGTGTATACAAGTTTGGAGCGCTAGTCAATTTACGGGGCCGAGTTAGAGAGCGGAGGGACAATATGATCAAGGTCAAGCGTAAAGTCAAAATAAAGGTCGCAGTAGACCTGGTTTTCGGTACTTTCACACTTCTCCCAAGATGTGTAAGTATGCCAAGTTTGGTCACGCTAGCGTCAATTAGGTTCGAGTTATAGAGCGAAGGCCGAAATTCTCTGCGGGGAGGCTGCGCGGGAAACATGAAACCATAGGTATCCCCGCCGACTTTCGTCACGGGGGATACAATTAACAGTTTGTTACATTGCAATCATTAGATGTAAAATGTAAGGAAGTACATTATTAATTTACAAATATTCTTTCCCGCATATTAATTTGCAAAGAAAAACAAAATCACGTAAAAAAACCAAGGAAAGACAAATAAATAATAAGCATCACGACTGAAAATGGCACGTAATAAAAACATCCTGCTTCAGTATACTTTGCAGGAAAACCAGTATTAGAATTGCACTTATGTGTGAGTATTTGTGCTACCATAACCAATTGCCCATTTACTAGCGGCAGCCACAATAATCACTCCTTGGTTAGAGACTACCAAGAAAAGAAGTCTAGTATTTTGACACATGGCACTTCTAAAAACTATTCATTCTGCGGGTTTTTCTAATGTACACACTCATACCTTAAACTTGCATTAAAATAAATTGTTCTGCTTCTTCACACTGAACGAAAAAGTAGCTTGCACTATAATACCATATATTATATATATATTTTATATAGATATCATATCAGAAGTAGATAATTGGAGAAGGAGTGACTTCAATAAACAGGGAGAATTCGTCATTACTAGCCTTATAATACCTTACGATTTTACTACGCGTAACCAATCCAACTTGCAGCCTACAATCGTACACAGTACATTCGCTAGCATCGTGCCCGAAAATCGCTTTCCTGTACACCCGCATCCGAGATACAGACTAAAACGTACGACACATTTTTCCATTCCTGTTGCCAGCAAACGTCATACGTGTTTATCGGCGAAATTAAACAAAAGCAGCTACTAACGCCGCGCATTGCGGTCTGGCTCGCTGCGGAGATTGCTGCTGATTGTGGTGGGGCGGCATGCGTACGTGGGGGGGCATACCAGTTGTATGCGGTATGTACTGTTCTATGTCGGTCAAGGTTATCTACGCCCGAGGTAGCTCGCATGCTCCAATCTCCCAGCGTGTCAACCGCATCGCGAGCGTAGTAGCTGCCTTTTGTTTAAATTTCGCCGAAAACACGTTAGCAGTTTGCTTGCAACAAGAATGGAAATCCGTGTCGTACGCTTTAGTCTGGTATCTCCGGATTGCTGTGTGTTATTACGAGGAAACGATTTCGCACCGATGCTTAGGCGAATGTACTGTGTACATATTATGAGCTCAAGTTGGATGGAGTTACGCGTAGTAAATCGTAGGTATTATAAGGCTAGTAAATGACGATTTCCCTCGTTTATTGACTATTATCTACTCCTGATATATATATATGCAATATATAATATAGCACAAGTTACTAATAATATATATAGTATATATATGCTATAGGATATTTGCAATTTATCCCATACAAAGCAAAGAGTTCTGCGCACAATGTTTGCTTCCAGTTCCAATTATAGGCGATTGCATTTTCATTGCCCATCAGCCGAACAACGATACAGCAGTAGCCTCACACCTGCGGTGAGCGATATCTGTCGGGCAGCTGGCAGATGTAGGCTTTACAAGCCTATCTAAGAGAGACGACAAATAGCACGGACAATGCTTCACACACCATTCAGATGATAATGCCGAGTGCATTCGCTCATATTCTATGTGTAAAGCAAAATAACATGCGGCATTTAAAACGGTCTTTGTTAATTGGCCTTTAAAGATTGCAAAAACCTCGCCAGATATATACGCTCGCATATATTAACCTTACTTATGAGCTTGCATATGTTGCAAAATTATACTACAAACTCATTTGGGATTGCCGTACTTTCATAACATTTGTTTCAAAATCTAATACGAAATTACAGCGAGCGATCGGCCGTCGATTCGTATTAACCAGTTCCTTTCTAAGCATAAAACAAGTTATAATTCAATTATTCGATGTTTATTCAGTACAAAATTGTGAAATTGTTTAAACCATATCGTTATCTATATTATACTTATGCAAATCAGGAAACAAATATAGTGTTTTCGTTCCAGAACTATTTGCACTAGTATAGGCTACTGCTAGCCTGTGTAACATTTACCGCCGTCTCTCGGACGCGATTTTGAAAATCCCAATGTTTGTAGCACTTACTCTGGATCAATGGACATTTTGTGATGTTTGCACACTGTAAGTATGCTCACAGTAGGCATTATAGGCCTTTTTGTTGCGAGATTTATCCATTTTTAACGCAAAACAGATACTTTTCAGTGCATTATTAAGTGCCAAAGAGACACAGTTTTGTACAGAGAGGAATTTACGAGCACTGTGACTATGTGGACTGGGTTGTAAGATGACAGAGCACAAGAACCACAAAAGTATTGCCATGAATGCAAATGCCATCTCTTCAGAATGAAATAGTCTGCATGAAAGGAGTATCTTTTGGAAAACACCCTTGTATGTGACCCCGCAGCTTCTCCCTCCTAACATGTTACACAAGTAGAGTACAGCTATGCAGCCTACAGCTATACTAATTAGCAAAATGACAGCACAAACGGTCCTAACCGTTGCTCCTACTGCCTGACTATTACTACATTAGCTAGTGAGAATCATAGATTATAGTGGAGTCACTGTGAAATCAGCCACTGCAAATCATGCTGCTTTGCAAAAATCTAGCAAGTTAATCACTAAAAGTTGTGCCTTTTACACTCCGACGACACGTGCCAGCCACGTTATATAATTGGGCATAGAATTTCACAACACTGATACTACCATCAAATTGACTTTCTTCTCACTTTGTTAGCATATGGCGATCACTGCCTAAGACGTCCTACAATGTTCATCAGTCTTCCCTGCCGCGGAACTAAAGATCGAAGTTTTACACAACTATCCCTAACCTCGAGAGAGGGTGCTGATAGAGCTACATCTGGCCCTACGGTATTGCTGTGCT